TGAGAGGATTCACCAGTCAGAATGGGAAGCACAACCAGCAGACTGACGAAGTACACTGCTGAGGGGAGCAGCAGGTGAGACAGAAGAGTTCTGCTGCACCATGTAGGTCACCTCCAGGGTGGGGATCTAACTCGCACCAAAGTGGCTATGGCCAGCTTCACAGTGCTGTACCACCACAAAGGGCCCTATTTAAACTTTTTATATATACTCCCTCATCTCTAGAACTCTCAAAACTGCCTTAATTTAGACTCACTTTTGACTGCCCCACCCCCCAACACCATTATACGTATGGATGCCAGTGACTTTACTTCTAAAATGCAAATTAATGACATAATCTAGATCAGTCTTTCAATGGCTCTTGAATATCTAGATGACAAAATCTAGTTTCTTTTATATAGCACTTAAGGTCTTCTATAATTTGGTCTCTGTACCTTTCACTATGCCCTCATTTACAAACAATACTCCAGCTATACTGCAGGTCCCAGCATGACTAGTTTGGTTCACATCTTGGGCTTTCACTCTGGCTGCTCTATCTGGAATAATTTTTAACTGCCATAAGTTGCTTCAGGAAACACGTATTTCAAGTCATACTTCAAGAGTGATCTTTCTATGAAATTTTTCCTGATACTACTTCCCAACCCCAAAGAAAAAAATCTTTCTACTTACAGCAATCCTATATCTATTTCTATCAGAGTATCTATAATGTTCATTTACTTAGAGTTTTACACATTCACTGTTTCCCTGACTACACAGCCCTCAAAAGCAACAATAGTTTCTAGCCCTTAGTTTAGTGCCTCACAAGTGTTCAATAAACCTTTTAGAAAAACTTAACAAATCCACCAGTTTACACAATAGTCCAGAGATTTACAAGGGCATTCAAAACTCAGTTACTTACTCTCCATTATCATCATACTTGTTCACCAGAGACTCAATATTGGTGTGTGCAAATCGGTAGTTATCTCTCAAGTTGCTGGCTGCTTTTAGAAACTCAGAGTGAGCTTCACTGAATAAATCCTTGAAAAAACCTATACAGAAAATGTCAAACATACAGAGAACAAATAGTAAGTGCTGAGACATACTAAAAATTGTTCAATTCTTCTATTATTCAAAGCTCTATATTAAACAGACAAGGAGAGGATAAATAGGAAAGCTAAGTTTATTTTGCCATGACTAAATGTGGAATTTAACAAAATATTGAGAATTAGAGTAATTCTTCTACCCTTAAAAAAAAACAACAACAAACACTCAAAGCTAACAGAAAGGATTTGCTAGGGCTCAGATTTTAATTCAAGTCTTTCACAACTAAGTAAATGTGGGGAAACAGAGCTTTAGGGACTATCTCAGATATCAACTCAGATATCAAAGGACTGAATGAGGCAATGCCAAACTGTAAATCATTTCATCTTTTTTTTTCCTAGAGAAAAAAAATACAGATTTTTTTCTATAGAAAAATACAAAATATAGTAGCGATTCCCCCCACTTCTGCAATACCAAGAGAAGTAGCTTTTTTGTTTACTTTATTTTCTTACAACACTGTTAGATAGCTTTTAATCAAACTTTCAAAACCATCTTTTATTGCCAGAAAGTCACTTTTATAATAGTAACACAAAGTGCACCCAAGATGTAAGGATAAAATGAGATACTGCAACACCCAAGAAAGCAAAGGCTATCATGAAGATATAACACAAGTCCTACCAATTTGATCTTAAAATCATAATTCCCCTACAACTGTAAAAACAGCAGAGGCTTATTATGTTTCTTCCCCTAAAATACTATTTTCAACTTTAACTAATGTATTATTTCAGTCTCAGAGTTTAAGTAAAACATCTTAAGATTAACTATTCTAGTTCTTTAATTGAAATTAAAATTGTCCATCTACAAGAATACAAAGCCAGTCATAAATAAACCACCATTTCCCACATCATTGAAATTCTTACCTATTTCTGAGTTGTCTTTTCAACTGCACCCAACTTTTCTTAAATTGTTTTAATTTTGTTGCTTACTCAGACAGGTTTTAAAAACCAAATTGATGATAATATGGCATAACCAAATATTTGCACTTACCCACCACAGAAGCATCTTTGTCACTAATGAACTTCTCAAATTCTTCCTCAGTCTTGAGAGGAACTGAAGCTGGTCCTGCTTGCTTCTTCAGGTGGCTGACAATTCCATCTTAAAAGATGAAAGATAATAGTAACACAAATTTATAATTTTTGACAAAGTAATCTTTCACATGATTCAAAGTTCAAAAGAGGAAACAAGAAAAATTCTCTCCACCCTTCAGCAAAATTTAGATATTTTTGTATCAAGATATACATTTTTATCCTTCCAAAAACAAATCTTTGTATGGCTGTCTCATAATTTAACCAATCACAGTTGATGGACTTTTTTCTTTCTTTCTTTTTACAATTTCTTACTGTTACAAATGCTTCTGCAAGAAACAACCTTGTTAATATGTTTTAAACATAGGGTAAATTTCCAAGAAGTGGATTCTCTGTGTGAGAATATATATAGGGCTTTATAACTGGTCAACTGCTCCCCAAAGAAACTTTATATTCATATAATCCTAGCAGCGAGGTATTAGTGTTTTTATTAATACTCATTCAATACTGCCTTTATGCTTACTATTTTTCTGCCTGGAAGACACTCTCTAGGTATCCCTTCCTTGTCTCCTCTAGGCTTTGCTCAAATGTCTTCTCAACGAATGCTTCCCTAACCATTCTATTGTAAACTTAACCCACTTTACCTCCAATACTCCTTATGCCCTTTCCCTATTTTCTTTTACTACAGCACTTTCCACCATTTAATTAATATATGCCATCCTAACTTATTTTTTTCTCTCCACACTACAAAGTAAAGTCCAGGATTTTTGTCTGTTTTGCTCATTGATTATATAAGAATAATGCCTAGTACATAACAAGTTCAACAACACTCACTTTGCAAGTAAACTAACCAAATCTCTTATTTTTCAAGTAGCACAAAGAAGATGATTTAACTATATATGTTGCATATAAATCAAAAATTTTTATGTGTAGGATCCACCCACTGCAATTTTCCTATTGAAGTAAAATGGGCTAAATAGAAAATGTTTTTAATAATAACCACACATAAAATAGAAAATTTTTGCTCCTTAAGCTAACGAACAGACCATTATTTCATTTTCTTTAGGGACTCATTCAAGCTATTCAAAATACTCAGAGAGGAAGGACAGAGGCAATGCTACTTCTCCATATTTATCTCTTCCACTCCTTTGCTATCCTCAGTACTACTGTTACAGGGTAGCCCAGAGTGGACTGGCTGCCTGTCTGTGGGGCTTCACCTGCGCACTCACAATTCAGTTATACTGCAGGTACACACAAAAGGATCAATAACCAGTTTATTTACAAAAGGGGAAAGGAATAGGAAACAACCCAGGGAAAGGGAGTGGGATACAAAGTAACTGGAATACCTTATGGCTAGGCTGACTGAAAACACCGTCAGGAGGTCAGGAGAGCTGTTTCCCAAGAGAAAGAGAGAGATGCAATCTTGCACCCTATTTATCCCCCAAATGTCCCAGAATTCCTGCTAGCTCTGCCCTTGGGTCCTCGCAGTTCTCTCTCTGGTAATGCTGGGAGTTGTAGTTTCCAAACACTGGAGCATGGGGTAGAGTCCAGAAAGCTGGAGTAGGGGGTGGGGTCCATAAGACTCTGCAGAGTTCCTTTAGGACATCTTTCCCCTTAATATTATAACTTGCTAATTGACTAAAAGTGTACTGTTTAACCCTTTGAATAGTACTGACCCTACTTTGTGTTTTTGTTTCTCTAAAATTATTTTTTCCTCCTCTCTCCAGCATTTTTTCCTTTTTAAATGTTTTTCCTCAGCTCTCCAAAAAGGAGGAGCTGTACATTAATCGGAATTGGTATGAACTGCTTATTTTGAAAGGGTACTATTATGATACAAGATAATTTAATTACAAAGAACTTAACCTCACACTGTGTAATTTTACTTTTATGTTGTACACAGAAAAATTAAACAAACAAATGAATATAATCAAACAAAAATAAACTTTAAGACAGTAAAATCAAGTTAGTGGTTACCAGAAGGGAGAAAGTGGAAGTAGGATGAGTAAATGAGGTAAAAGGATCAACTGCATAGTGAAGAATAGACTGAGGATTATCAGTGGCGAACTTTAATATATAAAGATGTTTATTTATAATGAGGTACACCTGAAACTTATGTCACTAAAAATTATTTAAAAAATAAAGGAATCTGGTGGCACAGCAGATTAAAGCACAACTCTAAGAAGCTAAAGCCACTTCATCATGAGTTCAATCTCCAGCCCCGGAGGTGACCCACACGGCGAGGCAGACCTCTCCTGACCCTCCCGCTGATCCCCTCAGCAGTGTACTCCATCAGTTGGCCTGTTCTGCTCCCTACTCTGTCTCTGGTGAATCCTCTCACTGCCCCTGCACCTCTGGCCTGTACTCCAGTTCTGTATGTGTAAGTAAATAAATCTTTAAAAAATTAAAATAAAATAAAGGAATTTTACCTTAGAGATATGATGAAAAGTGTAACTTTTCTCCCTGAGAATTTAAAATACTCAGGAAGATAGAAGTGAAGTGCTGAATAACCAGTTTAAGAAGGAAGGCAAACAAGATAGTACTTAGGAGTAGTTGAACACAATAATCCATCCAAAGTAGTCAAATGTCTGACCCAGTCAGATGCTGAGAAATTCTCAAGTTTAAGGAATCCTTGATACAGTCAAGTGAGAATAGCAATCTGGTTGGGTTCAGCCACAATGTAATTAAGCTTGGTCCAAGTTCAGAGGAGAAGTAAGAACTCTAATTATTAACTTTACCTTAAATTCAAAAACAAAACTAAACCTGAACCATAACATGGGTTCTTCATTAGTGATTTTAAGCTCATAAAGAAAACTTGTATTTAACTTTTGTACTTAGACATCAAACTTTAAGTATTGGCTAAATCACCTCAGTTGAGTCAAAGTATTTATTCATGCACTCAACAGTTATTGAATAACTATTTACTCTATGTGGCGAGTATAACTGCTGGGACAGAACAGTAAACAAACCAAATCAAGTATCTGTTCTCTTGATTCTTACACAATAAATCTGCAAATAAATAATACAATATATCTCCAAATAAGCAAGCAACTTTTAAAAAACTATTTAACAGAGAATTCAGATGATGTGGTAAGAAAATGGTGGCACCTTAGGTCTGGTAGCCTGGGAAAAGTCTTTGGAAGGTAAAGTTTAAGCTAAGATTGGAATGACAAAAAGTAAGTCATGCATAACGGGGAAAGATGATTTCACGCTGTGAATATAGCCAGGGTAAAAGTGCTAAGGTTAAACATTCTGAAGATGGCATCAGAATTAAGCAGGGACAATGCTTCATATATGAGGTAAGAATCACAGGTACTGAAAAAAATTTCTTACCCCTAAAATGCCTAAACTGTAAACCTTCCCTCTTAGTTTTCCAACATAAAGAGATAAAATGTTTGATTATCTGTAAGACTCAAAACTATCTTTAGCCATATAAAAGTATTTTCTCTCAACTACAGGATACAGTTCTCACTGCTCAAATCTCATCTGTTATCCTTACTAAGTGTATACTGGCCTCATGATCTTTGTCCTTTGAACACATCAAATTAAGAAACATTTCAGGGATTTTCACACCTTCTTTCCCTTCTGCCAGGAAGGCTACGGTTAGCTTCTTCTGTTAGGTCTCAGCTTATAGTATCCGATCTTATTTTTCTCCTTTAATAGTCTTATTACTAACTGAAGTTATCTTATGTTCTAAATTATGCACATGGTATCTGGGAACTACCATCCTACTTTTTGTCTCCTACCTAGGAACCTCAGATAATGGGACTTACGCAGTATTATTGTCTTTTTTGTTGACAGTATTTGTCTTATATCACTTAGCACAATGTCTTCGACTATACATGTTAATAGTACAAATAAGAACATCTTTCCTTTTTTAAGGTTAAATATTCCATTGTGTGTGTGTGTACATATATAGTTAGATACAGATATATCTAATCACGTTTTATATGTTATCTGATCCACTGATGGGATACTTGGGTTGCATATTTGTTATTATGAATAATGAAGCTATAAACAATTAAGTCCTCAAAACCCAGTTTTCAATTCTTTTGCGCATATATCCAGAAGTGGAATTGGTGGCCTTTATGGTAACTGTTTTTAATTTTTATAGTAACCCCATATGGATTTGCATAGCAACTATACCCTTTTATATTCACACAAATAGTGCAAAAGGTTTTATTTTCTTTCCATCCTTACTCTGTTTTTTGATAGTATTCATCCTATTGGATGTGAAGTAGTTATGTCTATATATATATGTTTAAACTTGTTTGTTGCCTTGTTCTCCTAAGGGGATATTGTCTACTTTATTTATCAATGGATACCAAGCACCTAATACACATCTAGAATATCCGGTGTAGTGTTGCTACTCAATAAATATTTGTCAAAAGAAAAAAATAACAAGTTGACCCCGCAACTCAAAATTCAAACAATTTCTTCATTAATTATATAGTCTGTTTATGTACAGAGGTCTTTGTTAGCTACCAAATTGATCTCTTAGATGGTAAATCTATAAGAATGATAATACATTGTACAAAAAGATGTCATGTTCCCACTACAAAAAATAGGAGCATTTATCAAATTCAATTTTCAGAGTGCAATGCAAGATCCTTACCGGCAGTCCTAGGCCCATCGTAAGCACCTGCTTCTTCACCATCTCTAAATATCTTCAGGGTTGGATAGCCACTGACACCATACTTATTACAGGTGTTTGTGTTGGCCGTACAATCAACCTAAGATTAAGATACATGAACCATTTATCTAAATGCATGCTGCAGAATCTTTCCACATTCACAAAGTAGAAGGATTGGTCAAATCATAAAAGGATCGAGAATTTCTTGGTGTACATGCCACAAAATATTAGATTTTAAAGGCAGACAAGTGCTGAGCTAGCTACACCAGAATCACCTGAGAAATTCTTTAAAATTTAGATTCTGGTTCTTCCTCGTGGCGCAGTGGGTTAAAACACTGCACTAAGAAGCTTAAGCCACTTCGGCATGAGTTCGATCCCCGCCTGCCCAGGAGGAGATCCACAGCTGCTCCCCTCAGCAGTATACTTTGTCGATCTGCCTGTTCTGTTCCCCACTCTATCCCTGGTGAATCCTCTCACCCACCGCATCTCTGGCCTATACCCCAGTTCTGTATGAATAAATAAATAAATCTTTAAAAAAATTTATATTCTTGTACCTCATGAAAAACATACAAATGATTTTAAATTCTGCCTGTGGTTATTACTATTGTATAAAGCAATAGTTTCCATCTTTTTTTCTGTCTCGTAACGTTTAGGAAAAATCACATAAATTACTAAGTCACTTATGTTAATTATCTCCGTCAAGGGTATACAGACATAGGTGTACACACCCTCTAGGCTGTAGGGCTCTGATCTGGCAAGTCATGTAGAGTTTTATTACAAGAGGTGTCAGGTGGTCCAGATCAAAGATGGCAGCTGGGTCGTGGATTTCTAGGTTGTTAGGTGGGTATTGGTCACAAGTAGTGTTGTCTCCGTCTAGTGGTTCCAGTGGTGGAGGGCTCAGCTAACACTTAGAAGGCCCTCACCTACCTTGCTGCACTGCCTGGGATGTGCAAGTAAGCATGCGACCTGAGTTCATTCCTTATCCTCATCTCCTTATCAGCTCCAAGTCTTTTCCTTTGGGAGATGGTAACCATACTCTATTCCACAATACTCACGTGAATCCACTCCCACCAGCTATGAATATGAATACAAAGATAATCTGGATCACTACCTAAGCACTAGGGGCCACAGCACTGCTTAGACCACTACTCTGCACATGGACAAGAAAAGTGTACAGGACCTCAAGTTGTATAAATTATATCAGTATATTTATCTTCCATCTCTGCTTATGGCAGATGGCATAAATAAATAACTTGTTTGATCATAGGAAAAAAAAAGAGGGGCCTCCCTCTAGTGGTAAAGGGGTTAACGTATCAGCACTATCAAGCCATCACTAGCCAACTGCAGTGTAAGTTTGATCCCCAGCCAGTACATAGTACAGCAGACATCTCCTGTCTCATCCCCTGTTCCCTCAGTGGCATATTTCAGTAGATCTGTCTGTTTTCTGTCGCCCCTGTCTCTGATGAATCCTCTCACCCCCACCTCCATATATCTGACCTATACCCCAGCTCTTGTATGCATAAATAAATAAAATAAAGGTATCAATACTTAAAACACACTCTTTGAATTAGCATGAATTTAGGCGACAATACAACACGATCTAGTGAGAATTATCAGTAAGATGGTAAACAATTTCCATTTTAGTTACTCCTTAGTGCTACAGGTACTTTGTATATATTATCTCATTTAATATTCCTAAGTTTCTAAAGTATGATACCAAGGCTCTAAGAAAAACTGAAGTTCATAAATAGTAAGTGCATATTAACAGGCTACAAAGTCACATGAGAGAAATTAAATCATATCTGGACTTTTTTTTTAAGATTTGCTTATTTATGCATATAAAAACTGGGGTACAGGCCAGATGTGCGGGGGTTTGGGGGTGGCAGAATTCACCAGAGACAAGAGTGGGGGACAGAATAGGCAGGTCTACTGAAATACACTGCTGAAGGGAGCAGTGGGCGAGACAGGAGAGGCCCTTACCTCCCTGGCTGGGGGTTGAACTTGTGCTGCAGTGGCTGTGGACAGCTTCACAGTGCAGCACTTTAACTCTTTGAGCCAGCAGGGAAGGCCCACGTCTGAACTCTTTATTCTCTATGGCAAGTTGCCACAGGACAGTTGACAAACAGTCCTACATGTGTATAAACTATTATAGAGTATGAAGTTTTAGACTAGAGCAACTATGGGTTTACTACAGAATAAAATTAGGGAAACATTACTTGACTGTGAAAACAAATATTCAGTATATAGTTGTCCTGTTAGTTATATACTTAACATCACCCTCATAATTTTCTTAGTTCCATTATTGTCAGCATTACATGGCAGTTTAGGGAACTCTCCTTTAACCTTGACTATTGGGAAAGAGATACACATGGGCTTCAACTCTACTGGCTTTAACTTTTTCAGCTGGCTCGTAAATTAGTGGTATCCCTTACGCTGTATTTCACAAAAGCATTTACCTTATCTGAAATTGGGATGTATCTTGCAGTTGCATCATAATTCCCATGGCAGCATTTCTTTGTGAGACAAGTTTCCACATTTGCCTCCAATTTTTATTTACCATATATTATACTTCTCATGCCAATAGTTTTCTGTTTTACTCCTTTCTGTCTTTTGAAAACTTAACTAATTTAACAGTCAAGGAATGAATGTTCTCCTTACTACGCTAAGTGTAGAGAAAATTAATTTTACAAACTGCAACTTAAAATTCTTCATTTCTGGGCCTCCCTGGTGGTGCAGTAGTTAAAGTCTCAGCTCTCAAGCTATCACCAGATACTGTGTCATGAGTTTAATCCCAGTCAAGGAACTGACCCACATGACATATGGCGGAGCAGATCTCTCCTGCCTCGCTTGCTGTTCCCCACAGCATTGTATTTCAGTAGATCTGCCTGTTCTGCTCCCCACTTTGTCTTTGGTAAATCCTCTCACCCTCACACCTCTGGCCTACACCCAGTTCTTGTATGCATAAATAAATAAAAATAAATCTTTAAAAAATTAAAAAAAAATTCTTCATTTCCATTAGTGAGAATCCACCTATACTCACCTTTGCTAATGGGACTATTCCTTTTAATCTGGTAGCTGCAGCTTCATACTCAGGGGCAAGCCTCTTGCAGTGTCCACACCTACACAAAGATAGGTAGATAGGTATTTTTAGAAGTCTAAGTCTCAGCTTAATCCTACAAGTTTGTTAACCTTGTTTTTCTAAGAAGAATCTCAAATTATAGTACTACTTTTAATCTAGGAGCTGCTTCCATAAGCAAAAACATCACCTGAACAGTACCCATTACTGACAGAGCAAATCAGAGTTCTCAGAAGGTAATAGTATTATCCCTAGATTGAGGTTGACTATACAGAACTGGTTCAGCCCCAAACATCTATTTTCTCAATTAAAAGTACAACTGAATCCTGAAATCTATAACATATTCTCCTAAAAGGGGAAAGAACTCAAGCCCATTGAACAATTAATGAAGATAAAATGAAGGACAAGACAGCAATAATCCCTTTCCTGGTAGCATTTCCCAAAGGAAGGCACATTTTTTCTCCTTAGGGAACCAATACTGTAATTCTTAAAGATATATAATTGAAATCTTGTAAGGCCCCAAGTTAATATCAACTGTTTCCCTCCCTTCCTTCAATATGACCCTCTTACCATAAACCTGCTTAAAGGGGCTAGTGGAATGAGATCTAAAAGACACTGCAGTTTTCAACTGAGTTTCAACAAAGCATTAGAATGACATCTTTAAGATGGCAAGTTTGACTTTTAAAAGACTACATGGGATTCACCTGGTTATAAGAACTGAAGAGATAAAACATTGTGTCGGCTAGAATATTTTCCCAGAGGGCCATCAGAAACACCTGCTCCTCCACCCAGAGAACCCGATCCGTCCCACAGGTACACTGCACATGCAATTGGGGGGGGAGGATATTCCTCCTTTTCAGTGTACAGCTAGGGCCAGCTGTATATCACCTCTTCAAATTCCAACGGGGTGTTAGAGAGATCACCTTCAGAAGGTGAGTTCTATTACTCCCCACAGACAGCAAAAAATACAATTCAAAAACAAAGGAATCACAGAAGGAACTTGAGCTAACTATAAAAATTTATTTTGTGTGATGGGTAAGTAATTTAGAATCATTCTGCCTCTAAAACTTACTTAAAACAAAGGACTACAAGACTTTATATTCTTCAAGCTCTTAGGAGTCCTATTCAAACATAATTATCAGAAAATTTAAATAAAGGAAAACGATATAAAAAAAGATCATATTAGATGCTGGATCACATATTTTCTAAAAGTTTAAGGACCAAATGACATGACGCCAAATTCAGCATGAGAGTACATCGGTGGGAAAGAGGTACCCATGGGCTTCAACTCTACTGGCTTTAACTTTTTCAGCTGGGTCATAAATAAGTGGTTTTCCTTACGCTGTATTTCACAAAAGCACATTTGCCATATCTGAAATTGGGATGTATCTTGCAGTTGTTTTATTTCCCACGGCAGCATTTCTTTGTGACACAAAAGTTTCCTTCACAATCAGTCAAGTATTATCTTAGATATGTTTAAAACACTGTGTTATGACCTCTGTATTCGTTTAACATTGCATAATAAGTTTTAATTAATCATGCCTGTATTGTAACAAAAATTTAAAAAATTATAATTGACTTAACCTACTTATCCAAGAAAAAGGTTCAAGGCTGAAAGAGTATTTATCAAAGGGAGTGAGCTGGATCTGGCTTTTAAGGATTTAAGGCTTCAGGCAGGACAGGGCAGAATATTTTAGATAAGGGGAATAGAAGCAAAGGTTATAACTAGGAATAGAAATTTATGAAGGCTTTCATTTTTGTTAAGACACATTAAATGTGCTCCATGTGATTTAAGCCTACATCAACAATAAATAGGACTGACAGGAAGGAGGAAAGCAGAGATAAGTATAGAGCCACTTAGACATAATATATTTTACATGGCAGATATGAAAGCTTGGGTCAGAGTGGAAGTGATGAAAACAAAGATTCTGAATGTGAAAAAGGCTGAGACAACAGAATTAAGAATAGTTTTAACCCAGTGTCTTAAAACATTTTAGAGAAAAAAAGAAGCATAAAATAATTGCATAGACCAGTGGCTCTCAACCCAGATGCATATAAAAATATCCATGAACGAATTTAAAAAATCTGCATGCCGGTGCCCCACTTGTGGCATTTCTTGAGTAAGAATCTCTAGGAATCTGGGAGGGGACAATTGGAGTATGGGGATTTCTGTGTGTAAGTGGCAAGGCTAGGACTGAAGAATGCGCTAAGCATTGGTAAAATCTGTAAGGTCATCAAATGTCCAGTATACAGACTTGTTAAACAAGTTGCAATAGGCTGAAAGAAAACTGCTCTGTTCAAATTCACCAATAATGAAACTCAGGTGACGTTTGAAGGTGATCATCAAGATTAACTGCAACTTCTTTCATCTTTTTACCACCTTCAGTGGTAGCACCTAGTAGTTAATAATGAATTTTTACTTATATTCACACAACAATCATTTCCTCCCTGCCAAGTGCCAAATACCATTTTGACTTGGACAGAAAAACTGATACAGTCCTTTCCCCAAAGAAATATCTGTCTGATGTGGTGAGAGGTGGTATTATTAAGTCCCAATAGAGGAGAGAGCAACCAATTATTTGTTCAGGAAGTAATAATTAACTTTTGAGCTTTTAACTTTGTTAAAAGATCATTTCTGTTCCCCTACTCTGTCTCTGGTGAATTCTGTCACTGCCCCTGCACCTCTGGCCTGTACCCCAGTTCTGCATGCACGCATAAATAAATATCATAAAAAAATCAATTGGGAGTATGTGTGTGAAAGAAGCCAAGTAAAACAAATATTCCACTTTATACTAACCACAATTTTTTTTTCTATTATTCTAGGATCATGTATCAAACATTAGTTAACACTACTGTCCTTTAAGGTACGGTACAAATCTATAAATTAAGTAGATGTTGAGGGCTTAAAACTAAATGTCACTCAATGAATTTTCAAAAATTACCACAAACATAAAAATAGTGTTATTTCTTTTCCCAGAGAAATTCAAGCACTCATTCTTACAAATGAGATGATTAACTCCTTTAATGGAAATAGTCTACAAAGTCAACTGCAAAGAAAACCCCAAGACCCACAAAAGAGCAAAAAGTCTTTCACATTCGCTTGTAAGATGAAAATGGAAAACATATCCTATAACAATAGGTCCATTTTACTCCTGAAAACTATCCCTGTGAGGTACTACTACCATTTATTTATGCCTACAGAACTGGGGTACAGGCCAGATGTGCAGGGGCAATGAGAGGATTCACCAGAGACAGAGTAGGAGAACAGAAATAATCTTTTAACAAAGTTAAAAGCTCAAAAGTTACTTCTTCCTTCCTGGACAAATAATTGGTTACTCTCAAATACAGGCATTTAAAATATATATAACTATTCTGCACAAAGGAATATAGAAGTCAGAAAACATTTCTAATCAAAGTATTAATTAAAAAAAAAAGTTGAATAAGGACATTTTCAACAGGAGTTCCTTCACTCCAAATGATTGAGAAAACTGATCCTCCTGCGGCATTGGGGAGGAGGATCTTACCTCCTAGACCAATTAAAAGCAGACACCACAGCAGAGAGCCACCCAATTTGGGATAGTTTAAAGAGTGCCGGGATATGTAGTTTTAAAGGAAGTATAAGCAACAATTTAATGCAGGAAAGAACACTTCAACAGGGAAAACAATTTGCTCCAAATAGTCTAATAGCCAACAATTTTTTACCAATTCACTTCGATGTTAAATCCTGTAGGCACAGAAGCATTACCCAGTTTTTACAACTCCATTCTAATTACAGTGATATTCCCTCAAAGTTAACACTATGTTTACATGCCAGGTAAAAATTGTTTCTAGACAGAATTTGAGTTCTAGAAGTGAATAATAACCACCTGTAAGGTATAATCAGTACTTCCAAGAGTGATCTGGATACAAAATCTGCCACAAGCTGAAAAAATGTGTTGCCTTTCTGCTGGTTCATTTAGTCTTCACTCTTAAGATTTCTAGAGTAACCTTCAACCAGTGAGCTTAGCCCTTTAGAATGAAGACCAGAGTTAGAAGCCAAAGTTAAATAGCTTGCTTTATTGATATTTCTGAATACAAGTAGTTGTTAATTAAGAATCACTGCAGTGGATGAAATTAAGCACAGCAATTAGCATGGATATACTGAACTATCCCAAGCACTGTCCACCCTTTTTTCCTGCAAGGTTTATTGGGTAAGAAATTCTATCTGCCCCGTGCCACCCACCACTTCATTTAAAATTGTTTCTCTCCTAACGAATTTAGGCCTTGTTCAGTCAAATTAGCCCAGAGCATTCCTCTAACACATCAGTACTACTGATGTTACTTTCTCCGACACAGGTTAATTTTCTTTCTTGGCATCCTTCAGAAATCCTAATTAAAACTGACAATTTGGATTCTGAAGGAATTGTTGTTCCTGCTCTTTTTGACAGGATTCTGCAGGTGCTGAGAAACGCTTAATGGAGAAAGTGTGAACCATGAACTGGATAAAATATATATATTGCACTTAGGACCATTCTGCAGCCACTGAGTGACCTTGGCTAGAAACCCATGGTTGCGGGCATAGGGCAAAAAGAAAAAAAAGTGCTGGTTGCCCAGAGTCCCTGCACTTGGGGAAAACGTTCGCTACCAGTGCAAGGCCTTAGGATGCCCCTTGTGTAGATCAGAGCACTTTAGCACTGACTCACCCAGAAACTGAATATACCGAGGGAAGGCAGGGGGTGGTTTAGCCTTCTGCAAATAGGAAGTACCGCAAGAGCACCAGGCAAGGATGTGGCCCCGTATGAAAGGGGCCGTGGCGATTTCCTTCCCGGGTCTCGCTCCTAGGCGATCAGCATCTACTTCTGTTATCTGAGGCAGATCAGCTCTCGGGGGGTGGGCAACCTGCCGGCCGCCATCCGGCCGGCGGGAATGGTGGAAGGAGCAGACACTGCGTAGGCCCAACTGTTCCCGCGCCTTCGCCCCCAGCCCAGCTCAGCCCTCCCTCCTCTGGCCCAGCTCAGCGGCCTCACCAGGGGGCGAAGAACTCAACCAGCATAAGGCCCGCGGAGCCCGTGTCGGAGACGCGACTCTCGAAGTTGTCGTCCGTGAGTTCCAGCACGTCGGAGGCAACGGCGAGGCGGGCCGCGGCAAGAAGCAGCGCCAAGCCGGGGAACAGGGCTAAGCGGCGAAGGCGCATGGCGGCGAGGTGCGGCGGCGGCAGCAGCCGGGAAGGTTGGCGCTCGGCGGGGTATGCGAAGGCCGGGCCGGCGACCACGCACCCACAGCCGGAGCTCGTGCGTCTGGCCCAGGCGGACCTGCAGCCGGAGGTCCCAACCCCCTCGCCCGGCTCGGGCCGCAGTGTGGCAGCCGCCGATTGGCTGCGCCGCTCTGGCGTCGGGGAGGCGGGACTAGCTGGTAACCGCCGAGTGGCCGCAATGCGGGGCGGGGTCGAGGTTGCGAGCCGGAACTCGGTGAGCTGGCGGGCGGGGCGGGGCGGAGCTGGAAGAGGGGTGCAGCTAGGCTGGAAACCGACCCTAAGCTGGCGCTGCGTGGGTAGAGTCGAGCTCAGGGGGCTCCCGGCGGGAGGCGCTGACTCAAGTCAGGGCTGAGTGGGCTGAGGTGAGGCCCAGAACTGGAACTGAGAAACGGGCACTCGAGGGAACGATGGGGTGAACACACTTGGGACGGGGCACCTTTTCTAAATGTCAGGCTGTTGTTGCATTGTCTTCAATTTCTCCTTATCTTGGTTTTTAATTACAGCTCTCCTTCCACCTCCTCATTGCATTGACCGGCTCTCTGAGGTGCTGGTGATGCCCATGATCCTTTTGTCCAGCCCCAAGACCCCTGCCCTTGTAGCTGTCGTTTTGAATTAGAAAATACAGTCACACAAGTGAAGAGACCTGGTCACTAAGTTGCGCAGTCTTTCTTACAAGTCATACTTTCTTTTGTTTCAGAAATCTTGAATCTTGCTACAATGTTTTGGTTTCTTAGAGGCTAACAAGGTGGGAAGGAAAAGAAAAACTCTAAACTCCAAAAGTGAAATGACACTTAATTCTTAATTTCATTTTAAAGGACATGGATACTTATCACCCTTATCAGCGACCAGGTCACATGCAACTGCCCAGAGCTGATGCCATTCGTTCACGCCTCATTGATACTTTTTCTCTTATCGAGCATCTGCAAGGGATAAGCCAAGCTGTGCCAAGGCACACTATCAGAGAGTTAGTTGGTCAGTAGCCTGTTTCTTTCTTTCTTTTTTTTTTTTTTTTAAAGATTTACTTACTTAAACATATAGAACTGGGATACAAGCCAGGGGTGTGGGGGTGGGGGTGGGGGGTTGTGAGAGGATTCACCAGAGAAAGAGTGGGGTTAATTTGTATAAATTCAAGACTCCCATTTACACCCTCCAAAAAGTAGGTAGCAGAGAGAAAATTATAAAGGTTGAAAATTCAAGGGCAATGGGTTTGGTTACTAGCTTGGAGGTCACACCAAATTTGATAAATGGACTGTTTTGTAAGTAAAATTCTGAATACAGAAGATTCAATCCACTCAATCTCATTGAATCCATTCAGACGATTGAATCACTCATTTTTAGGCTTAGGACAGCTACGATCCCTTGTTGACTTGGAAGTTTCTACCAAAGATACTTGAAACTTTGAGGGTTGAGTCTTACACTTTAATTCCTGGACATGCACAGTGCTGGTCATAAGCAATACATTAGCTGTGAATCCAAACTAATATTAGGTCTTATGTAAGGAGCTGCAAGGCCTGCTCCTGTGTTGGGACGCCCATAACCAGTATTTCTGCCCTCAGTCCTACCTTTGCTTAACATCTCCCAAAGACTTCTCTTCATATGTAACTACAGTCCTTTTAAAAATTTTCTTATAGATCCTTCCCGTCAGAAGAAACTTATGATGAGAGATCAGCATCAACTTGTGCGCTTCTCCATAAAGCCCCGTCATGTAGAACGGATTACACATGGTCGGAGACTGCTGAGCAGACTCCGAGTGCGCTGCAATCAGAGGCCTCCTCTGTCCTTGTGGGCTGGATGGGTCCTTGAGAGTATCCTTTCATGCCATTCTCTTCCAGCCTCCCCCATGCCCATGCAAACAACCAGACACATACACTCTTTTGTTAATCCTCTTGAAAAATCTGCACAACTATCACAGACACAGATAAAGTTACCACAGGATCTTTACTCCTTTTTGCCATTAAAAAAAAAAAAAGATTTATTTATGCATACAAGAACTGGGGTACAGGCCAGAGATGCAGGGGGTGAAAGGATTCACCACAGACAATGGGGAGCAGAGCAGGTATATCTACTGAAATACATTGCTGAAGGGAGCAGCAGATGAGACAGGAGAGGTTGCTGCACCATGTGTGGGTCAGCTCCCTGGCCTGGGTCAAACTCTCTAGATTTCAGTGGCTGATGATAGCTCGATAGTGCTGAGATTCCAACCCCTGTGCTACCAGGGAGGCCTGCCATTCATTTTTATCTAGAATTTTATTGCTTCATCGTCAGCCAGTTGACTTATTTTTTCCCTTTCAGATTCCATTTTTACATTCTCAGTAAGGGTTCATTCTACATTCTCACATAAGGGTTCATGCCCTTATTCCAATTGCATAAAACAGAAAGAAATCTACTGTATGTTTCCTTAAGAGAAAACAGGTTCTATCTTCACGAACTTCATCATCTTCCTCATCTTTTTGAATACAATTGTACTGATGGTTGAAATAGGTGAGAAGTGACATTAAATAAAAAAGGAAGTAGGTGGGAGTCATTTTCCTTTAAATTGATCATTTATGTTTTTGAATGTCATCTGAATTGTAATAGAGAAAATTAAGTCTCCTAGAGTAGAATGTTTGCAACTTGTTAATAAATAAATCTTAAAAAAAAAAAAACTAGTTAAATTAACGTTTTCTGTTAGAGATATCAGTGACTGATTCAACATTTGCATTTTTAAGAAATATTTATTTATTTATGCATACAGAACTGAGGTACAGGCCAGAGGTGCAGGGGCAGCAAGAGAATTCACTAGAGACACAGTGGGGAGCAGAACAGGCAGATTGGTGAAGTACACTGCTGAGGGGAGCAGCAGGCAAAACAGGAGAGGTCTGCCTGGCCATATGGATCACCTTCAGGGCTGGCAATCGAACTCTGAAGTGCTGTGATGAGCTTTCAGTGCTGTGCTTTAACCCATTGCGCCCCCAAGGAGCCCAATTTGCATTTTTACAAGTATATTTACACAGATCATTTAAGTATGAAAAATATGTAAAGTTAGATACAACTAAGTTACTAGGTGAACTGGAAAATAACTTAAAGATGAAATGACTCTAAAACCAAATTATATGAAATGTTTTAAGAACAAAGATATTGGAGCATCAATTATGTCAAACAAACTTTTGAGAATTATGAAAGGAGAGTAGAAGTAGTCACTTTGTTGTTTCATCTCCACTGTTTTTGGGGCATTTCTTAAAATAGTCTAAATGCAAAATATTTAAATATATAATAATAATTGATGTCACCAACCCACAACACTATATTATATACTTTGAAGTGTTTTATTTCCTCCCCATATGGGTGAGAATATTGCACTAAGTCACTCACATTTCCTGTTGTGTGATAACTGAAAGGTATTTGCCTTGTGGTGTTAGGAAGCTAGTCTTAAGCATTGCAATAGAACAAATAGAAGTCCCTAGAGCTAATGGACAAAATAAAATTGAATAGCATTAACCATCCTATTTGGTAAAAATAGTTAAATTGGAAACAGGATCACTGTATCAGAGGATAGATGGATTGGCCTAGTAGGAATTACCTTTCAAGCTCATAAAAATTGTATCTTATTTAAGTACATTGTTTTTTTTTTTTTTTTTTTTTAAGATTTATTTATTTATACAGAACTGGGGTACAGGCCAGAGATGTGGAGGGTGAGAGGATTCACCAGGAACAGAGTGAGGAGCACAATAGGCAGATCGATGAAGTACACTGCTGAGGGGAGCAGCGGGCGGGTCAGGAGAGGTCTGCCTCACCATGTGGATCTCCTCGGGCAGGCGGGGATCGAACTCATGCGCAAGTGGCTTAAGCTTGGTGCAGTGCTTTAACCCACCAGGGAGGGCCCTATTTAAGTACATTGCTATGGCTGAAAGGAGAGAAAATGCAAAGGGAAATAATTTGTGACTACAGATTTCTTTGAAAAGAATAATTTACCTGATAAACACTAGAACTTGATTTATTTAAGCTTTAAAAATATTTTCAGATCACAATGTTCTGTAGATAAGGGGAAATAGTAATTAACAAGCAATTCTCTAGGTCAAAGCTCCCCAACAATTTTTGTCATGTGATTTTGTTTCCCAGTAATTTATATATATATAAAATCTTAAAAACTTACTTAAGAGCTGCACTACTTTTATGTTATGTAAAAAAGCAAGTCAAAGAAAAAACTTAATAGAATAAATAGAATATTGTTAGTTTTGTTATAGAACTTCAATACTCATGTATTTTTTTTGCCACATTGCAAATAATTTATGCTGTTTATAAAGAAAATACATGATTTGTCTACAAATGAATTTTTACATAATAGTAATTTGGTTTAGGCATCAATTATGTTTGTTTTATATGTTAAACACATGTTATATATTATATGTTCAAGTGTAGATGGAAATTTAGTTATGCATTAGGGCATAACAAATAGAAAAATCTTTTATTTTTAATTTAACTTTTTAAAAAGATTCATTTATTTATGCATACAGAACTGGGGTACAGGCCAGAGGTGCAGGGGTGGTAAAAGAGTGGGGAGCAGAACAGGTAGATTGATGAAGTACACTGCTGAAGGGAGCAGAGGGCAAGGCAGGAGAATTCTGTGGAGCCATGTGGGTCACCTCCCTGGCCTGGATGCTCAAGTGGTTGTTGCTAGCTTGGAAGATGTGCTTTAACCCTTTTGCCACCAGGGAAGGCCCTCAGTTGAAATTTAAAGAGCAACGTAGAATAGCTAAATACTGTAAACTTTTTTTCTGGGCCCTCCCTGGTGGTGCAACGGATTAAAGCTCAGCACTATGAAGCTTTCCACAGCCACCCTGGTCAGGGAGGTGACAGAGACCTTTCCTGTCTCACAGTGTAGTTCAATCTGTCTATTCTGCTTCCCACTCTGACTGCCGAATCCTCTCACCTCCTACACCTCTGGCCTATACCCCAGTTCTTGTATACATAAATAAATAATTCTTTTTTTTTTATTACAAAGTTTATTTTTACATCATTTTGCACATTTTTTTTTCCATCTCGATTGTTAAATAAATAATTCTTAAAAAAAAATTAGGCCCTTCCTGGTGACGCAAGGGGTTAAAGTGCAGCACTATGAAACTAGGCAGCCCCTTCAGCAGGATTTCCATCAGACCAAACTACTCAGAGGTTTGTGATACTCAGGGTGATTGAATAGGCACTTCTGAGCTCCATTAACTGCTGAGAATGTCAGTCATAATGCATTTGAGGCTCTCAGATTGTTTGGTTTTAAAGGGAAAAATACTAAATTACTTACTCATAATAGTGGAAATTAAAATAGATCACATTAAGCCTTTAAAATTACAAACATATGGAACACCTTAGAGAATTCCTAGGGGATTTCAAACTTGGAAAATGCTTTTAGTTAGGAAAAAAAGAAAGCAAATGTCTGTGTCCAGGATATTCCAGTAAAATTTTTATTAATGCCAAAAAAAAAAAGAGATATTGCATAGGAAATTACCTTGTTCGCATTCATCTAGTATTCTCTTAAAATAGTGTAATACCAAGTAAAAGATTGTGGTAATGTCCGATGATGTTATATGGGTTTACAGATCTTTCCAATTAAAAAAGACATTCAATGGAGCTTTATTTTTAGGTAAAGTAAGAAAGCTCACAGTCATAACTCAGCCTTGAGAGCAATTCTAGGGACTGAATAGCAAATACAGTCAATTCTCAGAAACAAATAGAACAGCTCTATTATCAATTTTTGCTGAAAAGGTTAATGGCACTTTGAGACTTCTCTGAAGTATATATGGTAACTAGTAAATATAGTTATGTGGCCTAATGCAATGGATGAACAAAAAGTGATAAAGAGAAGACAAATTTATAAATGAAACAGAAGTCAAATCATTATCAAATCATTGGTTAACCATGCCTGGAAATATGTACTAGCAATGGCAATAATCATAATGAAAATAGGTATTGTATGTTTTATATATTTACTTTCCACCTGTTCTGAGGTAAATACTATTTTATAGATGAGAAAGATGAGCCAGTGTAAGTAACTTCCTGGAAGTGATAGACTTGGAAACTGGAAAAGCCTAGTCACAGCCCTAATTGTCTGACCCTAGAATTTTGCCGTTATCACTACTATTACTACCTAGAAGTCTGAATATTGGTTGTTAGGTCACATTCCTGCTTAACCCATACAGAGCTAGAAAAGGAAAGCTGACAAATTACAAAAATGGATGTGCTTTCTGTTAAGGTATGTTTTAAAAAGTAAATAACAATGTAGAACGAAAAGATGAGTCTTAGTGTCTATAAAATAATGAGAGATAATTTCATACATTAGAGGACAAGTTCTCTAGGTAACAGTAAAACTAGAAAAAGGAATGGAAACTAGATGAATAATTAAGGCATTAATTAAGTAACTTAATCTTGTTAAGGTTCTATTTCTAATGGTTTAAAATGCTGTTATGGAAGGTAATTACGCATTTCCAGAAAAGTCCTTAAGGGCTACTAGTACAAATTCATATGTTTCCTATGTTCTTGGGATTTTATCAGCCTTACTTTTTTGGTAACTTGGCCAAATCAATAGTTAGTCTCACTTATAAAACTGCCTGCTTATCTCTCATAAAGGAATTGTAAGCTCTGTTTGAACTCATGAATACAAAATATAATTTTTCAACATTAGCTGTTGCCTTTAGCCAAACACTAAAGCAAATTTCAGTGTACTACTGGCCTCACTAAAGGTAAACCTTTCTTGAAACCAGTGGGAATTTACCTGTCTATAAGGTTATCTGTTTTTTTTCCCCCTAGAATAGGAAGTGATAATAAATGACTGCCTAATCATCTACATTTTCCTGACTTGCTTCATCAAACTACAGCCTTTTCTCACCCCCAGAGAAATGTGTTCAAGCATAGATTTTCACTATCAACTCACAACACTGGCCAAGATTCCTGGTTACCTCCCTGGGCTCCTTGACTCTTTCCATTAAGAATCTTTTACCTTGCTATGGTAGGCTGAAGCATTCCAAGAATTTTTAAAAATCATGTTTTGATCTCCAGATAATATACATTTTTGTTAGTTGATATAGACTTGTAGGCAATCACTTCTGTTCTTCTAAGGCAATTTCTGTTTCTCTTACCTGGGTTCATTTAGTTTCTATAAAATTATCCCTTTCTCTGCAAAAAGTAAAAATGCTTTTTCTTCTATAATTTGAACTTACAACTCAAGCTATCAGACTCTTTTCTCTAAGACCCTTTAGCTTAGACTACTTTCGCCAAAACAGTAAAAATTGTAGCTTTACGTTTTCCAGCCTTAAATGTGATAGTACTGAGATACTTTTAATAATCCCATGCTTCTTTCCTATTGAAAAAACATTGTATTTTATTGAATCTAAGCTGTTATCAATGGTAGTATGTAACCTATCACTAGGAAAGAAAAATTATCTTCAATTAATCTGGTAAATACTATTGATTTTAATTATGGTTCAGCCTAATTTTAGAAAAGATAAAATATGAAAAGCTTTATCTTAGAGTTAGAGAAGTATTACATGAAAAAGAAGAATTCACTGATAAAGTACAGAGCCTGAAGAGGCATAGTATGACTTCACTCTTTTTAAGGAAGAGTTAGCCCATCTTGAGAGGGTTGAAGTATGATTCTGTTCTTTTTGTCTTGATCTATTCCAGAATTAGGATGACAATAAATTCATAGCACCATAATAGTGATTCTTATTTAACTTTATAGCTTCCTTTGTTTTGTTTTTACTTAATTATGTTTATTGAGATATCAGTGATTTATAACACTCTATATGTCTCTGGGATATAGGTTCATATCTACAAATGTATATCACACCACGTCCACCACCAGTGTTCCAAAAATCCTCCACCACAGTGCATTGGTTACTTACTCCTTTTGCTCCCACCCACCCCTCCCTTTTTCATTTTTCATTGCCTCAGTTCCGCTATAAGCCTATTTTGTTATTTTAGGGCTTGGGGGTTGTTGTTTTCTTTTTGGTGTGTGTATTTATTTATTTCCTGTTAAGCCTATTTTGATCTCAATGTTTTATTCTACATCATGGTGTATATCTATTAAATGTATAAAAAAGATGATGAGAGTTATAGATAAAGGTAATGAGTTAAGCAATAGCAATTTGCAAATAATAGGATTCTGGAGAGGAATTATAGATTTAATTTGCATTGTAGAAAAAATCAATTTTAGACAGAAAAGAAAGAGAAAGTTTTAAAGGTTAACAGTAAAGAACCAAATAATTTCTTATTATAACTCAGTATGCCCCATGAAGCTGGTTTCTTGTTTCTACATTCCTTATAAAGCCCTTCATACATCATCATCTTGTATTTTCATTCTGTTCTCAATGCCCTATTGCTTTCTCATGAAGTTTGGGTCTAGGATAACAATGCAGCAGGCAGGGTTACTGGGGAGCAATCCTTTGCTAGCTGTGTGATTCCAGAGTAGAAAGGCAGGGGTTTGCAGCTGGAGATATAGTAATACTGGAAGAAGCTGAATCATAGCTATTTTTCATGTTCAATTCTGTTCTCTCCTGTATATCACAGGTTGAAGTAACAGTAGTGTTAAGAAGAGAAACTCAAAAATGGAATAGCAGTGGGTACAACTGTATATATAGAAATTTCAGCTTCCCACTTCCTTAACCTTTATTCATTCTTTGCTCAATTCTTAGAATTGCTCGAATCCTCAAATACTAAACTGTGGCCACTGAAGCTGACTCTGGAGTTGGCAGCTTGGTTCATCTTGCTTATTTTCATGTTGGAGATCCTTCTTATGTGGCTCTCCAGCTTTTTGCTCTTCTGGAAGAATGCCTGGAATGTATTTGACTTTGTTATCACCATATTGGTAAGGATAGATTTCCTGTGAATTAGTTTAGTGGCTGAGGAATGTGCCTGGGTGAATCAAAATGACAAGAAAAGATAATTAGATCAGAGGAAGAAAAAATAGAAATGTACCTAACTTCTTTATTTTGATTGTTTCCTAAAATTCAAAGTCAGTAATTAGGAGGTATTAGGAGCAAAGTAGCATCTAACAGTACCATTAACGCCAGCGATAACATATTTACCATTTACTTAGTACTTACTGATTACCAACCACTGTTCTAAGTGTCTTACATGTATTTTCTCATTTGAACACCACAAAAATCCAGTAAAATAAGCACTATGTCCCCTTTGTATGACTGAGTGAGATGAAGTACAGGGTTTAAGTAATTTTTTTATAGCAAGGCTGAATGGGAAACAATCCCTAAAGAATGTCATTCAAGATAATGCCCAAGGAACTATGGAGATAATGAGCTAATGAAAGGGCAACCATGTGGGGGTGCTTTGGGGTATATTTTAAACATAATCTGTGTTTTCCACAGTCCCTGATTCCAGAAGTTGTGGTGCTGGGAGGGGTAGAAAGCCAGTCTGTATGGCTCCAGTTGCTGAGGATCTGCCGGGTGCTAAGGTCTCTCAAACTCTTTGCACGGTTCCGTCAAATTCGAGTCATTATTTTGGCCCTGGTCAGGGCCCTCAAGGTGATTTGACTGTTGCAGCTAAATCAGGTGGGAAAGGTGGATAAACATAGGGGTTTAATATGAAACAAGTCTGGGTGAATCAAAGAAGGCAGTGAAAGATCTTGTGAAATGCTATTTGATGAGAAAGGGTATTTATAGACAAGCTGCTGTGGTCTAGAGATGACTGGGATCAGTACTGGACATGACTTGGTTTGGTGTGGGGGTTGACAGGGTGGTCTTGACTAGACTATAGGTAGAAATCAACCTAGTCCGGCTCAGTTCTGACTTGAGGTCATGGCTTCTAGAGCATGACCTTCCTCTGGATGTTGCTGCTCATCTTCTTCTATATTTTTGCTGTGGCTGGTGTCTACTTCTTTGAGAATTACACTCGTTCACCTCGCCAGGACCTGGAATACCAGATGTTCTTCTCGTAGGCAAAACTGGGGGTACTTTGGGTGGGGGGAGAGAATTTGGGTTAAAAACTGGGAACCTAGTTTAAAGAATAGTAATACAAAAAATATAGTCTGTTGTAAGAAACTGGAACAGAACACAGTAAGGAGAAGGAAAGAAAAAGCAGGTAGCATGTGGTATTAGTGCTGACTTTGAGGATAAAGCAACAAGCTCCAGGTTTGCTCTCAGTTTGTAAATTTAAAAACAGTCTAATAACCATCTTAAACTATATAGAATCTATTCTACTGGCTAAGCCTTGGTTTCTATGCCTCAGTTAGCTCTTTTGAAAAATGAGAATAGTGGCAATGCCTTGTGAAAGTATGAGAAAAAATGAAGTAAAGCGTTTTAGCACTTAGCACTGAATGATCACTAAATATTCCTTTGATTCTCAAGCATGGTCAGTGATTTTATCCCAATCTTGGTATGGGGATTATACCTATATATACTTACACTCACTCAAAAGTAAAGTTCTGATAAAATCTTTGTCTAGATTACTAGTAGAAAGTCAATTTGGGTTTAGAGAAGATAACATTACTTATGACTTGGAATCCAATTTTGTTATTGCCTCTCGATTGACTTAGGCTGTTTTGTAAGAGTATTAAGAAAATTCTAGAATTCATGCTACTTGGGCTGTGGTATTTCAATAAATTGTAGAAAGAGAACTAAAAAGGAAATAAAAATTTAGATAACTCCTGAGACCTTTTATGATGCAGTTATTCTCATTTGTTAGGTAGATTCATAAATGTTTATGTCACAGAGACTTAGGTCTCTGTACTATCTATAAACATACCTCCTTTTTTCTCTAGGGACATTCTGAATTCCCTGGTGACAGTGTTCATTCTTTTCACCTTGGATCATTGGTATGCACTGCTTCAGGATACCTGGAAGGTGCCTGAGGTCAACCGCACCTTTAGCAGCATCTATGTCATCCTCTGGTTGTTACTTGGTTCCATTCTTTTTCGAAATATCATAGTAGCCATGATGGGTAAGCATAGAGGAAGTGCAACTAAGTGGGAGAGGTAATCAAGAAAAATTAGGGTGAAAGCTAGCATTGGTGGATTATGGTTAGAGAGAGCCCGGTGTAGTGGGAAGGCTATAGTAGGGCTTGCAATGGATATTTCAGTTGGTTTCTCCCAATCTAAGCCCTCCAGTCACCACTATCTCCCAAGTTCTTTTTTTTTCTAAGATTTATTTATTCATACAGAACTGGGGTACAAGTCACAGGTGCATGGGCGGTGAGAGGCTTCACCAGAGACAGAGTGGGGAGCAGAACAGGCAGATCGATGAAGTACACTGCTGAGGGGAGCAACGGGCAGGTCAGGAGAGGTCTATTGCACCATATGGACCACCTCCAGGGCTGGGGATCAAACTCACACTGAAGTGGTTGCGGCCAGCTTGCAGTGCTGTGTTCTAACCCATTGCGCCACCAGGGAGGGCCCTATCTCCCAGTTTCTAATGGTCCTTTGGGGCAGTTACTAACTTCCAGAATATCAGGAATGAACTGAATGAGGAGATGACACATCTGGAGGTTCAGCACAAAGCTGACATGTTTAAAAGGCAGATTATCCAGAGGTATGCTTTCCCATTTTCAAACCCAATTCTAGTTTCAAGATTTGCCTGACTTCCTTTCCTCCTTCATCTTAAGCTTTAATCTCATTTTCTGCTTTGTGACAGAAGATTCACCCATAGTTAGAATCTCCCATTCCAGAATATGGCCTGCTTCTTGTTCCCCACTGTCAAGTTTTTCCTACTCTTTTTTATACCTTTATTACAATTTGTTCTCCCTGCTCCATTTTCTTCACTTTCTGATCTGTTTCTTTTCTTACTATACTATTGCTTCAGCATAGCTTTCTTTTTATTATTATTATTGCTATTTTTTTCTGTTTTACAGGAGGCAAAACCTAGCCCCGGATGGACAGAAGTCAAGCATTACCAAAATGAATATAAGGTTAGGAGCATATATGTGAACTAGTATGAGCATATCTAGGGGAGGAGAGGGTAGAAAACCAAAGCTGATTTATTCAATAATTATTTATTGTATTGGTTGAATGGTGGTCTCTTGAAAAATGTCTATATCCTAACCCCCTGAAACCTGTGAAAGTGACCTTATTTGGAAAACAGCTCTTTGCATATATAAATTAAATATTTTGAGATATAATCATCCAGGACTATCCAGGTAAATCCATAAAAGAATAAATCCTTATAAGAGGAGAAGACATAGCTTTAGAAAATAGGAGAAGGCAATGTAAAAATGGAGATAAGAGATAAAGCAGTAAGTCAAAGGAAGCTGAACTATTCAGGGCAACTGCCAGAAGCTAGATGAAGCAAGGGGCCTTCTCCAGAGCTTTCAAAGGATAAATGGCCCTGCCAACATCTTGATTTCAGATTGGACTTTCAGAACTCTGAGAGAATATCTGTTATTTTTAGCTACAACGTTTGTGGCAATTTGTTACAACAGCCACAGGAAAGTAATACAAATACCTTCTATGAAACACTATTCTAGACCTTGAGTATTCAACAGTGAACACTAGAACAGGAGAAATAAAAAATTCATTTGTTCATTGAACAAATACAGTGATTTTTGAGTTTCTGTTAGGTGTTTGGGATTTATCAGTGAACAAAATAGATAACTGTTTTCAATGAGCTGGTGTGCTAATAATAGGGAAGAGACAGTATACAAAAGCCATATTAAATAAGTAAATATGTTAAAGTATAAGAATTATGAAAATAAAAAGAACAGGTTAAGGGAGTTAGTATATAGGATGGGGGCTGTAGATGTATTGTAATAGTATTTACAGTAAGACTTTAAGGAGGTGAGGGGATTACTATGTAGAGTTCTATAGGATGAGCGCTATTGGCAAAGGGAACAGTTAGTATAAATGTTCTAATCCAGAAGCATGCCTACCATGTTTCAGAAACAGCAAGGAACCCATTGTGATTAGAGCAGAGTGAGTGGGGAGAGAAGTGCTAAGAAATGAGGCTAGAGAAATACTGGGTACTCGCTTCTGTAGGACTATGTGGTCTTTGTAGGAACTTAGCTGACTTTGCTGAAAAGCAGAGCAGTGACATGAAGTGGCTTATATTTAACAAAGTTTTTTCTGGTCGTTGTCTTGATGATCGACTATATATAAGGACATGGAGAGGAACTGAGAGGTCAGGAAGTTCGGTGTCTGTCTAGGTAAGAGGTGATGGTGATTCAGGCCACAGTGGTACCAGTGAGAAAAGATATATTGACGATAGAAGCACCAGGATTTCTGAGATTTAGAGAAGAGTTAATGATGACTCCAAAGTCTTAAATGTGTAACTAGAAAGATTGATTAGCGGAAATGGGGAAGAGTGGGTGAAAGAGGTTTGGTGGATAAAAAAGTTAGTTTTGCTTGAATCTGAGATGTCTATGAGACATCCCAGTGGTGATCTGTGAGTAAAATTTGATACAAATTTGGATTGATAAAATGATAGGTAGCCTGGAGTTTTAAATTTTATTTAGTAGGACTTAAAATTCAGGAGATGTATCCATGAAAGTATTCACTATGGTTGGAGAAGACAAAAGACCAAGAGCTGAGTCAGGGTCCCTCTTCTATTCAGAGATGGAATCAAGAGGGCAAAGGCTACAGCTGTGGTGCAGTAAAATGGGGAGCTAAGACTTGGCAAAATAATGTAGTATGGGGCCTCCCTGGTGTCACAAGAGGTTAAGTCTTAGCACTATGAAGCAGTATCAGTTTTGATACTGACCCACATGGCGCAGCAAACTCTCCCTTCTTGCCCTTTGCTCCCCTCAGCAGTGTATTTCAGTCAATCTGCCTGTTCTTCTCCCCAGTTTATCTCTGGTAAATCCTCTCACCTCTCATGCCTCTGACCTGTACCCCAGCTCTTGTATGCATAAATAAAGATTTAGAAAAAAGTAGTATGTGGGAGCTTGAGTAAAATTGGCAAAAGCTATATAGGCAGTAAAGGATAGTGATAAGGATATATAGCAGAGGGTCATTGAGGTTAAAAGTGCTTCAGTTGGGCCCTCCCTGATGGTGCAGTGGGCTAAAGCACTGCACTAAAAAGCTAAAGCCACTTCCGCATGAGTTCGATCCCCACCCGCCCCGGAGGAGATCCACATGGCGTGGCAGACCTCTCCTGACCCGCCCGCTGCTCCCCTCAGCAGTGTACTTCGTCGATCTGCCTGTTTTGTTCCCCGCTCTGTCTCTGGTGAAGCCTCTCACCCTCCGCATCTCTGGCCTGTACCCCAGTTCTGTATGAATAAATAAATAAATCTTAAAAAAAAAAAAGTGCTTCAGTTGGCCCTCTCTGGTGGCACAGCAGGTTAAAGCACAGCATTGCAAGTGAGCCAGCTGCTTCAGTGCGAGTTTGATCCCTGGCCGGAAGATGACCCACATGACATGGCAGACCTCTCCTGACCCACCCGCTTCTCCCCTCAGCAGTGTATTTCCTCTGTTTGTGTGCTCTGCTCCCCACTCTGTCTCTGGTGAATCTTCTCACTGCCCCTGCATCTCTGGCCTGCACCCCAGTTCTGTATGCATAAATAAATAAATCTTTAAAAACAAAAGTGCTTTAGTTTGGGCCTACCTGATGCTGGTGATGCAATGGGTTAAAGCACAGCAGTACTACGAAGCTATCTGCAGCTAGCAGCTAGTTAGATCCCCACCAAAGAAATGACCCATATGAACAGACCTCTTCTGTCTTGCCCTTTGCTCCTCTCAGCAGTAAGTCTGCCTGTTCTGTTCCCCACACTGTCTATGGTGAATTCTCTCATCCCTCACACCTCTGGCCAATACCCCATTTCTTGTATCATAAATACATAAATCTTTAAAAAGAAATAAAGTTTTTAAGTAAGTACTTAAGTCGTAGCTCTAGGGGGTAGCCAGCGCCAGGACCAGAATAATGAAAGTACTAATTACCTCTTATAAATGTATTTGAAGCAGGGCCCTCCCTGGTGGCACAAGGGGTTAAAGTTATGAAGCTATGGGCAATCACTGTAGCACAAATTCAATCCCTGGCCAGGGAACTAACCCTCATGGCACAGCAGACCTCTCCTGTCTTGCCTGCTGCTCCTCTCAGCAGTGTATTTCAGTAAATCTGTCTATTCTACTCCCCACTCTGCTTCTGATAAATCCTCTCAACCCCTTCACCTCTGGCCTGTACCCCAGTTCTTTATGCATTAATAAATCTTTGAAAAAAATTATATTTGAAGCAATAAAATTTCCCTTTTCTCATAGAGAGGAAAGTCAAGAGGAATTTTCACCCATATCAGAAAAAGTTTCTCTGGATATGTCTCATGAGAAAACAACTCCATTAAAATCAAAAAGGCCTGTGCCAAAACGGAGAAGGAGTTCATCTTCTTCCTCCTCCCCTTCTTTTGCCTCCTCTCAATCACCATCAGAATCATCATCGTCATCTTCAACCTCCTACTCTTCAGACTCCAAAATTTTGGACTCTATTGGTAAGCAGAGGTGTTTTTTGTTTGTTTGTTTGTTTGTTTTTTGTCCTTATTTTTGGGCGGGAAGACTGGGTAAGTGTGATTACAGTTTTTTGTCTGTTGTGAACAAGTGGTCTCTTGGTGTTGTACCTTTTTCCATCTCTACTTTTTTGTTTTTTCTCTTATCCCTGCTTCCCCCCACCCCCACATACACCATAGGATTTATCATCTTTTACTGAACATCCACAAATATGGATTTTTTTTTAAAGATCCAGGGGTACAGGCCAGAGATGCGGAGGTTGAGAGGATTCACCAGGGACAGAGTAGGGAGCAGAACAGGCAGATCAACGAAGTACACTGCTGAGGGGAGCAGCGGGTGGGTCAGGAGAGGTCTGCCGCACCATATGGATCTCCTGAGCAGGCGGGGATCGAACTCATGTGGAAGTGGCTTTAGCTTCTCAGTGCTGTGCTTTAACCTGCTGCGCCACCAGGCAGGGCCCTATTTCATTTCATTTCATTTCTTTTTTTTTTTATTATTTATTCATACAGAACTGGGGTACAGGCCAGAGATGCAGAGAGTGAGAGCATTCACCAGGGACAGAGTGGGGAGCAGAACAGGCAGATCGACGAAGTACACTGCTGAGGGGAGCAGCGGGCGGGTCAGGAGAGGTCTGCCACGCCATGTGGTTTCCTCCGGGGCAGGCGGGAATTGAACTCATGCGGAAGTGGCTTAAATTCCTTAGTGGTGTGCTTTAACCCGCTGCGCCACCAGGGAGCACCCTATGTATGTATTTTTAAGACACATTCCTCCCTCCAGACCAGTTGGACTGGGAGACTCACGTACACCAGAATCTGCCTGGACTAATGGAAATGGATCAAGATGAACGAGTTGTTTGGCCTAGAGATTCACTCTTCCGATATTTTGAGTTACTAGAAAAACTTCAGTATAATCTAGAGGAACGTAAACGGTTACAAGAGTTTGCAGGTATGGATTGAAGGCAGTCAGGGGAACCAGGAATTAAATAGATTGAAATAGTACTTCTATTTGGGGAGAAAGAGGATAGCCACTGTTTTAGCATCTAGACTCTGAAATCCCACGTCACACCTAAAAGTGGCAAATTCGTGGCTCATCATGTCACATTCTGGATATAGGTTCTGATACCTTCTCACCTAGAGAGAACCTGGCAACTCTTCCTCACTAGTAAGTTAACACCTGAATACCATGAGGTCTGAGAGTGTCTCTCCTAAGTAAAGAGTATCTAATTCCAGTTGTTTGGAACTAGGGCCAAGTAGGCTCTTGCTTTTTTTGAGCAGCTCACCTCTTTTGGTACCAGTTTCTTTTTTTAAAGGTCACATTTCAGACCTGAGCAATGGGGCTTCAAGTTCTATGGGGATTAGACAGTGAATAGAATGCCCACAAGTGCCCACTGCCTCCTTTCCCCAAAAGAATTTTATGAAATACAGACTTCTCTTCTGTTCAGTTCCTTCTATTGTCAGCCTACTAAAAAAAAAGCATGGGACTTAAATGTCAGAGTTTGATGATTTAAGCTGAGAGTTACCTGATCAAAGTTGTTTCCCTTAAATTTCTCACTTGAAATTATATTGCTTGGAGATTAATTTGGATTAATAACTACTTTTTATGGTTTAATATAGAAAAGTATTACTTTCTTTATACTTAATTGCATTAATTCAAGGTGAAAATAAAAATTAGGAAAGAGATATGTAGGTATGGGTGGTGGGCACAGGAGGGCAACGAGAGGAATTTCTGATGTTGGAACATGGAATTTAGTGCAGAACATCAGACAGACTTTGCTCACTTCAAAATTTGCCTGAAGTTAGTTTTGCTTTTCCTCTTGTCTGCAGTCCTTCCTTCCCATTTATTCTCTGGGAAGAACAGAGGAAGAAGGAGAAGGTGGCATGCTGGCTTCTTTAATCCCAATTAATTCATCTATGACAAAGTATATTCAGATGGTTTAATTTAAAATAAAGATTCATAAAGACTTGTGTGGGACTGTAGAACCCAAAAAAGCAGGGTCTTCATTAAACATTTGCATGTTTGGAATGTTCTTAGCTCTCTAGCCTCACAGTCTGTTTCTTTACAGTGCAGGCACTGATGAACTTGGAAGACAAGTGAAAATGACAATGGAGGGCTCCCATGTCTTTGGCAAAGATAGTGAAGAGGAGAATTGGAGATGGAGAACTCAGAGTATAAATGTCTAATAAATATTGCTGGTAATTGCTCAGTGCTGTTGTCTTTGAGACACAGGGGATACTGAAAGGTACAAGGTCAGGTATAAAATGACCTGTGCAAGTGGAGCCGGTGGGCCTTAGCTTTCTACTTTCACTATAGTTCCTGAGTCTGACTCTTACCCCTTCTTTTTTTTTTTTTTTTAAAGATTTATTTATTTATGCATACAGAACTGGGGTACAGGCCAGAGGTGCAGGGGCGGCAAGAGGCTTCACCAGAGACAGAGTGGGGAGCAGAACAGGCAGATCAACGAAGTACACTGCTGAGGGGAGCAGCGGGCGGGTCAGGAGAGGTCTGCCACGCCATGTGGTCTCCTCCGGGGCAGGCGGGAATCGAACTCATGCGGAAGTGGCTTTAGCTTCTCAGTGCTGTGCTTTAACCCGCTGCGCCACCAGGAAGGGCCCTCTTACCCATTCTTTCTTGCAACTTTTGCTTCCGATAAAGTCCTAATTTCACCCTTTCCTTCTCCATTGTGTGCGGGAGTCTCTGGGATAGCAGAGTAAGGGGATCCCAAAATCTGTTTGTATAACTAATTGAAAACTATTGTTTCTGTTGCTTACTCTATGATTGTTACAGTTAAATTAGTCAAACATCATATTCACCTGCTTCTGGGACAAAAGAGAGTTCCTTTAGTCCATCCCCTTACCATTCTTTAGGAGAGTTCAAACCAGTGTCTTAGATGTTTATGTTAAAAGGCACTTCAAAATTAATCTAGTTGCCATTAAAGCAGGAATACCTTTTTTTTTTAAGTTTATTTATTTATGCATACAGAACTGGGATACAGGCCAGAGCTGTGCAGGGACGGTGAGAGGATCCACCAGAGACAGAGTGGGGAGCAGGACTGGCAGACTGATGAAGTACACTGCTGAGGGGAGCAGGTGAGACAGGAGCGGTCTGCTGTACTATGTGGATCACCTCCAGGCCGGGGATGGAACTCACACTGAAGCAGCTGTGGCCAGCTTGCAGTGCTGCCCATTAGCCCACTGGGCCATCAGGGAGAGCCCAGGAACACCTTTTCAAACATCACAGACAGGGGAACTATCTAGCTGATGCTTAGTTGTTCTTAGTTATTTAGTTTTATTGTTTCATTTTTGGATAGATCATGTCTTTAGAAATGTTTATTATTAAAAATTCTATCATGCTGAATGCCTGACATTTTTGAGAATACATGGCTATAGACATACAGCCTTCTACATTAAAAAAATACTGAATTGAATACTTTAAAGTGGCAAGTTTTATACTATATCTGATTTTATATATCTGAATTATATCTGATTTTAATGAAATAAATATAACCTATAGTCAAGAACCAATACTATTTTTCAAAGAAAAATAATAGTTATTAGTTATTTTCTGTAAAGTGACACAGCAAAAATATTTTTAAAATATGTGTCAACATAAGATATTTTATTAAAAATCCCTCTTATGGGCCCTCCCTGGTGGTGCAGCGGGTTAAAGCACAGCACTGAGAAGCTTAAGCCACTTCCGCATGAGTTTGATCCCCGCCTGCCCCAGAGGAGCTCCACATGGCGCTGCAGACCTCTCCTGACCCGCCGGCTGCTCCCCTCAGCAGTGTACTTCGTCGATCTGCCTGTTCTCCTCCCCCTCTCTCTGGTGAATCCTCTCACCCTCCACATCTCTGGCCTGTACCCCAGACCTACATGAATAAATAAATAAATCTTTTAAAAAATCCCTCTTATAAGAAATGCAGCATACATTTTTAGAAAGAAAAACTGAAAATATTATTTTTAGACCTGATTGAATACCTAGAAACCCCAAAGGACTCAACCAGAATTAGAGAAATAAAAAATTTCCTTTTAGTACAAATAGAAGGATTGAAGAGTGGAAGTAGAAACTTGAGAACCAGGTCCACTTTAACACATAGGAGGAGGAAGAAGAGTCAGTAAGATAGACTGAGAGGGAAGAGCAAAAAAAGAATAATCTAGAGAGATGTCCCTAGAATGTAAAAAGAAATGGTGCAGTTAGATCTGATTGGAGCATCAGTTGAACCTGGCAATCAGAATACAATAAACATGATAAAATAGAGTAAGGAAACATTTTTTGATAGACATCATCTATGCTATACACAAAGTAGATCCTCTTTTGAGTAGCTTTGCTAAAAGACAAATGGTGTGTGAATCAGCAGAATTGACATCACCTGGGAACTTATTAAAACGCAGAATCTTGGTTGCCATCCTCAGGACCTGTTGAATGAGATGATGTACATACACATTAAAGTTTCTGAAGCACTGTTCTATGACTAATCCCCTCCTAGGCTTATAATAGCTGACTTTATGGTCTATGCATGCTGCCTCTTATTTACTAACTTTCCATAATGAAAGTGATCTGGCTTTAATTCTACTGAAATGGAAATTTATCTCACAAGTAGGTATTGAGTTATTTTTTATTATAAAGATTTACTTTTATTTATTTTCATACAATAATTGAAGTATAGAGATGCGGGGGATGGTGGTGGTGGTAAGTAAGAGAATTCACCACAGACAAAGTGGGGAACAGAACAGGCAGATCTACTGAAAAACACAGCTGGGGGGAGCTCCAGGAGAGACAGGAGAGATCTGCTGCAATATGTGGGTTAGCTCCCTGGACCATGATGGGTGATCAACTCAAGCAATAGCAGTGGTAGTGCTAAAATTTAACCCCTAGGCCACTAGGAAGTCCTCCTCAGAAGCATTTTTATTCATATGATTGTATTAAGCTTTTATTTGAGAACATAGATTTCCCTTTTGACTTTCAATTATTATATACTATATTCAGCATATCCTATACTGGAACTTAAATCACTGTATTCCTACTTGGAAGCAGAAAATTAATATTTGTTTTATTATAACACAAAGTATAAAAAATAATGTAAGAAGGAAAGACAAGTTTCATAACTACAACTTCTATCTACTGACATAACTTCAATTTTTTAATATTTCAGCATGGATTATCAGTATCATTTTTTCTTTATTATAATTTGTCCACATACTGTCACCATTCTTAAGTTTAATATAAAAGCTTTTAAACAAAAAAAAACTTTCCTTATTTTACTTCTAAAGGTTTAAAACCTCAAAGAATCTCTAGGTTTCTTTCCACTAATTTCTTGAGACTTTGCTGTAGTTGGCTAAACCCCTAATATTCAAAAAAGGAATCATTTCTTCTCTCAACAGAAGTATTAATGTCCTTTATTTTTCAGCTGTGATGTTTTGAGGATAGAAAAACTGAATGTGTTTGAATATAAACGTTTCTTTAAAATGGCACCACTGCAGAGATTTTTGGTTTTTACCATGAGGAGCAGAAGTTTTCAAAATGTCTGTACTTGTATGTTTCCATATCAGGTGTCTGAGGGTGGAGTGACATTTTTAACTTTTTATTTTGAATTAATTTGAGACTCAAGAGATGCAAAGATAGTACCTCCCTATCTGTCATCCAGCTTTCTCTGATATCAATATCTTACATAACCATCATAATCAAGATAAATAAGTTAACATTGATAAAGTACTACTAATGAAAGTACAGACTATTAGGACTTCATCACTTTTCCCCACTAATATTCTTTTTCTACTTCTAGGATGTAATCTAAGATATGACTGTGCAAAAGCACAGTTAGTTAATATGTCTCCCTTAGTGTCTTCTGGTTGCAGCAGTTGCTTAGTTTCCACTTATATTTCTCAACCTTGATGTGTTTGAAGAGTTCTCAACAGATACTTTGTAGAATGTCTCTTAATTTGGGCTCAGCTAATTTGTATAGACATAAAATACATATACACATTACATTATTGCTTGCTTTCTCTTCTCAGGCATAGTCCCCATTCACTAATCCACCTGTGCACCCACTGTAGTCACCTGTGTTCTCTGCTCCCCTGTTTCAGTGCTTCTCCCTTCTCCCCTTCTGCAGGATGTCTCTGATTTATAGCTGCCTGCTGATTTCTTTTTTGTTAAAATTTTCCCCCTAACCCCTTATTTGATTCCCCTATATTCCTCCTATAAATGAAGCCATCTGATATTTTTCTTTTTCCTTCTGACTTACTTCACTGAGCATAAACCCTTCTAAGTCCATGTTGGGGTTATGAATTCTTAGAATACCACTGAGGTGAGGTGCCCTTTGTAGCACACCAGAGCAGGAGGTATGTAATGGTGATGTATCTTAGACCTGGTGATTCTAACCTTGATCCCCCAGTTAAGGCATGGGTTTCCCCACTGTGAAGTTAATTGTTTTCCATTTATAAGTAATAAATACTTGGGAGGAGATACTATGAGGAATTATAGTAAGTATAGAAGGAATAAGAGAAATCCAATACCATAGTAGTAATTAGCTGCAAACAAAATCCATTGAGTGCTAATAACTTCTTTCTCCTTGTTTTTAGCATTCAGTGGATTTTGTTTGCAGTTAATTACTACTATGGTATTGGATTTCTCTTATTCCTTGTATACTTATTGTAATTCCTTTGTAAAGAATTATATTTTCTCTGAGGTGAAGGATTGGCAGCAGCAAGCTCATCACCATGTTAGAACTCTGACCTCTGGTAACTTGGGCCAAAAATGAGTGGGATGGAAGGAATTTATTTAACAAATCCTTTGTTTAATAATATGTATCAGGTGCCTTCCTAGTGGTGCAGGAGGAGACTCAGTGCTATCAAGCTATTGGCAGCCACTGCAGCCTGGCCAGGCAGCTGACCCAACATGGCATAGCAGATCTCTCCTGTTTGGCCTGCTGCTCCCCTCAGTAGTAGCGTATTTCAGTAGATCTGCCCATTCTCCTCCTCACTCCATCTCTGATGAATCCTCTTACCCTCCCACCCCTGTACCTTTGGCCTATACCCCAGTTCTTGTATGCATAAATAGATAAAATAAATCTTTTTAAAAATATGTATAAATAACTACATTAGGCACTTCAGGTGCAACAGGGTGAGAGTTTATTTTCTAATCTAGTGTGAGATAGAATTTATATTTCTGGATTGAAAACTAGGAAAATTCCTCTAAGTACAGTATGACTCCATAAAAGTCTTTGTAGGACTAAATAAGCATACTCTTTCTGACTAACTTATTAATCACTCTATTGGAGGACAAGCTTGATTTCGTCCCCTCAACCCTTAGTTTCAAATAAAATAATTAATACAGAGCTAGCCCAATAATAATAGTTACAACATTTAGCACTTCTTCTATACCAGTGTCTAGAACATGATGGGTGCCTATTCTTTGTTGAATGAATGCTAGACACTGTGCTAAGTACTTCAAATGCATTATCTAATTTCATCCACTCATAACTCTATATTAGTACTTCCCCTTTTAAGAGAAAACAAAATTGCAATGCAGGAAAGCTTAGAAACTACTCTGGGCACATAGAAAATACATATTAGAGTTATAATTGGAATTCAGTCATCTCATTTTTACTACCCTATTAGCTTAAATAAATAAAAAAAGGGGAACTTATTTTTTAAAAGATTTATTTATTTATGCCTATAAGAACTGGGGTCCAGGCCAGAGGTGTGGTGGGTGAGAGGATTCATCAGAGACAGAGTGGGAAGCAGAAGGCAGATTAACTGAAATACACTGCTGAGGGGAACAGCAGGCAAGACAGGAAAGATCTGCTATGTCATGTGGATCACCTCCCTGGCTAGGGATCAAAGTCGTGCTGAAGTGGCTGTGGCCAGTTTT